ACGCGCGGAGTGGACTATCACAGATCTCCCGAAGAACTGCTTTGTTGCCCGAATGGCGTTGAACAACAGTAGCGGGGCTACAAGCCTCGCTCGCGTCTACGCCGATGTCAACGCGAACATGCCCCGGTCATACTGGGACTACGACTCCGTGAATATCTCCTGGGGCGTTCTCGAGAACTACGAGGTTGTCCGTAAGATCGGCCGTGGAAAGTACTCGGAGGTCTTTGAGGGCATCAACGTGGTTAACTACCAGAAATGCGTCATCAAGGTCCTCAAGCCTGTCAAGAAGAAGAAGATAAAGCGTGAGATCAAGATCCTGCAGAATCTGTCGGGTGGCCCCAACATCGTCTCGCTGTTGGACGTGGTGCGCGACAACCAGGTTAGTGACGGCTCCGACTGGATTGGCGACTGGGTACTGAGGCCCAACCGCTACCGCGTGCTTGAGAGAGAAGCTGATTAACAATCTACAGAGCAAGACACCCTCGCTGATATTCGAATATGTCAACAATACCGACTTCCGGAGTCTGTACCCCAAGTTCCAGGACTACGACGTGCGATACTACATCTTCGAACTGCTCAAGGCCCTCGACTACTGCCACAGCAAAGGCATCATGCACCGTGATGTCAAGCCTCATAACGTTATGATCGATCATGAAAAGCGGAAGGTGGGTACATCCTCCCCGAGCAGAGGAGCATAGCTAACGAGTAGTAGTTGCGCCTCATCGACTGGGGTCTAGCGGAATTCTACCATGCAGGAACCGAATACAACGTCCGCGTCGCGTCACGTTACTTCAAGGGCCCCGAGCTACTAGTCGACTTCCAAGAGTACGACTACTCGCTTGATATGTGGTCATTGGGTGCCATGTTCGCTTCGATGATCTTTAGGCGGGAACCATTCTTCCACGGCAACAGCAACTCTGACCAGCTCGTCAAGATTGCCAAGGTGCTTGGAACGGAAGACCTGTTTGACTATCTCGACAAGTACGACATTGAACTAGATGCCCAGTACGACGACATACTTAGTCGGTATCCCAAGAAGCCTTGGCACTCGTTCATCAATGCCGAGAACCAGCGCTTTGTCAGCAACGATGCGATTGACTTCCTCGACAAGCTGCTGCGATACGACCATCAGGTAAGTCTTGTCATATGTAAAGATGCATTGTCAAAGACTAACATGTATCAGGACCGACTGACTGCCCAAGAGGCTATGCAACATCCTTACTTTGCGCCCGTCCGACAGGCTGCGCAGCAAAACAGCGCCGCGGCATGATTGAGATACCCATTCACGTAATTAGACTTTATGTAATAGCATAAAAGTTACAGCAACGAAATACTCGGTCTCCCATTCATCCATTCCAAGTTCTTTGGCTTGAGACACAACTGAGGTGCCGGCGTACAAGCACAAGGCGCAAATCACGGAGCGGCAGTGCATAGGGCAAGGTGCTAGGTATCGTTCTTGTATAAGCGATGGTGAGCGCAATGGTACATCGCAGGCGCATGGGAGCAAACAAGGCTCAACAAGCAATCGGCTCAATGCATATTGGGGTGTTGGTGGACAATCATTCTTGCTAGAAATGTCTTATGCCCACGGTAGTCAATGATGATTCTTTTTGTGACACATCCATCTCTGACTCGACTTGTGCACCTCACCTGGTGTCTTGCTTTTCATCATATGTAAATCATCGTCGGCCACTGCCGACATAATGTCGGCGAGCTCCTATCATCTCGCAATGACTGTTTCCCGTCATGACTGTGAGCCATGCTCATCGCTCGATGACTGCATACAACAATGGTTCGTCGTCGTAGGCGGGGTCCGTCCGAGCTCCTGGATGTGGGGTGACGCAGGCCGGACTTGGACGACTCACACCCAGGCACTTTTTTGTTAATGTTGCCCCGCACCGCGCCCACTACACTGCGCGCCGCCTGCAGACGAAACCTCGATTCTCAACACCTTGCCAGACGCCGATTGCAATTGAGACGGCCAATCCGTAGCCTATCGCGAACCTACACCCCGCTTCACGCTGAGCGCGTGCTCACCCACAAACACCACTACTCGACCGCAACCATGGCGCTCAACGCGTCCTCCCACAACTCGACCGGCGAGAAGACGACGCCCAACACTGCGCCGCCGCCTGAACTCAGCGCAGACGTCAAGAAGGACATCCTTGGCGCTGCCGAGAACGAGGCTACCGGCCAACATGCGCCCGGCCGTGAGAACGACAAGGGCGTAGAGAAGAAGGAGAAGTCGGCCAAGGAACTGGAAAAGGAGCGCAAGAAGGCCGAGAAGGACGCAAAGTTCAAGGCAAAGAAGGCAGCTGCCGCCGGTGCCTCCAAAGATGCCGCCGCTCCAGCCAAAGAGAAGAAGAAGAAGGGCAAGGAGGAGGAGCAACTACCAGAATACGTCGAAGAGACACCCAAGGGCGAGAAGAAAAGGCTACGACCCCTAGACGACGCATACACAAAGGCATACATACCCAAGGTCGTCGAGTCGGCATGGGATGCATGGTGGGATTCCCAGGGCTTCTTCAAGCCTCAGTTCGCCGAGAACGGAGACGTCAAGGGACCCGGCCACTTCGTCATTCCCATCCCGCCACCCAACGTTACCGGAAAGCTACACTGTGGACACGCGCTCGCTACAAGTCTCCAGGATGTCCTCATACGGTGGCATAGGATGAGGGGTTACACCACCCTCTACCTGCCTGGTTGCGACCACGCTGGTATCGCTACACAATCCGTCGTCGAGAAGATGCTCAAGCGGAGGGAGAACAAGACCAGATACGACCTCGGCCGCCAAAAGTTCCTTGAGCGGACTATGGAGTGGAAGGAGGAATACCATCAGCATCTCACCAACACTCTACGCAGAATGGGTGGATCGTTTGACTGGACACGCGAGGCTTTCACCATGGATGAAAACTGCTCAAAGGCTGTTACAGAGACTTTTGTGCGCCTACACGAGGACGGTCTGATCTACCGCAGTAACAGGTTGGTCAACTGGTGTACGGCCCTCAACACGGCTCTCAGTACACTGGAGGTCGACAACAAGGATCTGGCTGGACCTACCAAGCTGTCTGTGCCTGGATACGAGAGGATGGTTGAGTTCGGTGTCCTTACTCATTTCAAGTACGCTATTGAAGGTACCGACCAGTTCATTGAGATCGCTACAACACGTCCCGAGACAATGCTCGGTGACTCCGGTATCGCTGTCCACCCCAAGGACGACCGTTACAAGCATCTCGTAGGAAAGAAAGCTCGTCACCCCTTCATCGACCGTCTCATGCCTATCGTCGCTGACGACTATGTCGACCCTGAGTTTGGTACCGGAGCTGTGAAGCTCACTCCGGCACACGACCCCAACGATTTCAACCTCGGAAAGAAGCACGGTCTTGAGTTTATCAACATTCTGAACGACAACGGAACTATGAACAAGAACGCTGGTCAATTCGAAGGCGCCAAGCGCTTCGATGTCCGCTACACCGTTGTCGATGCGCTGAAGAAGGCGGATCTCTTTGTAAAGACGGAGCCTAACCCCATGAAGGTCCCGATCTGCTCAAGATCTGGCGACGTCATCGAACCCATAATGAAGCCGCAATGGTGGATGAAGATGGACAGCCTGGCCAAGCCCGCTATCGAAGCCGTCGAGAAGGGCGATATCAAGATCAGGCCCGCCACCTCCGAGAAGGTCTACATGCACTGGATGAACAACATCCAAGATTGGTGCCTGTCCCGACAGCTGTGGTGGGGCCACCAGGTTCCCGCGTACTTTGTCGAAATCGAAGGTCAAGCGGGTGACCGAAGTGAGGACGAGCTCTGGATCACCGGCCGAACAGAAGAGGAGGCGCGGGCCAAGGCCGAGAAGAAGTTCCCTGGCAAGAAGTTCACGCTATCACGGGATGAGGACGTTCTCGACACATGGTTCTCTTCCGGTCTGTGGCCATTCTCCACCCTCGGCTGGCCCAACCAGACTGTCGATCTGGAGAAGCTCTTCCCCACATCTGTTCTCGAGACCGGATGGGACATTCTCTTCTTCTGGGTTGCCAGGATGATCTTCCTCTCGCTGTACCTTACCGGCAAGGTTCCGTTCAAGGAGGTCTATTGCCATTCGCTCATCCGTGACTCTGACGGCAGGAAGATGTCCAAGTCGCTGGGTAACGTTGTAGATCCTGTTGACATCATGGATGGTATCACTCTGCAGAAGCTACATGACCAGCTTCGCGCAGGTAACCTGGACCCCAAGGAGTTGACCAAGGCGGAGAAGTACCAGAAGACAGCCTTCCCTCAGGGTATCCCCGAGTGCGGTGCTGATGCGTTGCGCATGGCCCTTGTTGGGTACACCACAGGAGGAGGTGACATCTCGTTCGATGTTAACGTAAGTGATTTCCATATAGTGTTCTCAATGTTGTATATACTGACTACATATTCAGGTCATCCACGGATACCGGAGGTTCTGCAACAAGATCTACCAGGCTACAAAGTACGTCATTGGACGTCTGGGTGACAATTTCACACCACGGGAGCAGGTCGCAAAGGGAGGCTCAGAATCGCTACCTGAGCGGTACATTTTGCACCAGCTTAACGTCGCTTCCAAGAAGATTAACGACCACCTGGAGGCACGAGAGTTTAGTCTGGCTACCCAGGCTGCCTACAAGTACTTCTACGTCTACCTCTGCGACACCTACATCGAGAACAGCAAGGCCATTTTCGATGAGGGTAGCGAAGAGCAGAAGGAAAGCGCGAAACAGACGCTCTACACCGCCATTGAGGGAGGACTAAACATGATCCACCCCTTCATGCCCTTCCTCACCGAGGAGCTATGGCAGCGTCTCCCCCGCCGCCAAGGCGACTCCACCCCCTCCATCACCATCGCACCTTTCCCACAGTACAAGCCCGAATTTGAAGACGAGACCGCAAACGCCGAATACGAGCTCCTCGTTGACAGCGCAAAGGGTCTCCGTTCCCTGACCGCCGAATACGCTATCAAGGAAGGCGCATCTACCTACATCAAGTCCCTGGACGACGCCACACACGCCATTCTCTCAACACCCACCTCCCTCCCCTCCATCCGCTCTCTCGCCGGCAAAACCGTCGCAGACATCAAGATCCTATCTCCCACCGACTCCATCCCCTCCGGCTGCGCCGTCTACACAATCGGCACATCCGCGACCGCGTACCTCGACGTCAAGGGCCGCATTGAGCTCGACAAGGAGATCACCAAGGCCCAAGACCGCCTCGTTAAAGCCAACGAGACGATTACGCGCCAGAAGAAGATTATGGACGATGAGTGGGAGCAGAAGGTTAGTGATGCGGTCAAGGAGCAGGAGAAGGAGAAGCTGAGGACTGCGGAGTTGGAGGCCAGGAATTGGGAGGCGAGTATTGAACAGTTTCAGAAGATGAAGATTGAGTAGATGGTGTGTGTTTGTTAGAGGGAGGACATGTGATTTCGATGGAGATGTATTAGCTTAGAAACGATCACTACGACGTAAAGTAAAAGTGCCAATGGATGAATGCGGATTCGTGACTTGGACAAATTGGAATGTTATACATTGGCTGTATGGTATCTTCGTGCAACCACGCATATCTTCTGTTTCGGACCCTTCGCTTGCCGTCTCTTTTTCTCCTATCTTACTATGGTGCATTCCTTCCGACTTCCTATCGTAGCACGAACCTAGAATGAACTCGATAGGTATACATATGATGAAACGAACGCCTCGAATCCAAACCCATAGCGTGCTCCTTCCTTCGTCTCCACCCCAGTTTCCTCTCTCCTCATCTCCTCATCTACCCATCTACGAAACAGCCTTGACCTCCAACGCACCATTAGCACTCTCCTTAACCACCTGCGCGTCACCAGCACCCCCCCTCCCCCCCCCCACCAGCACCCCCCTACCCCCCCCCCCCCGACTCTCGTTCTTGCCATAGGCATACTGACCTCCTGCCCTCGCCAAGCACCTCAGCCTCCACCTAACCAGCAATTTCTCGCATAGGTTTCTCCCTCTCGTTCTCCGTCCACATCTCAGCCAGGATAGCGACGACGACTTACGGACAGGCGGACGGAACATATACAGGTAGTGGAGTGTGTTACACGCTAGATCGATGCGCTCGGGTCTTCTGCCATCTTCTTGAGGCGCACGAGGATGCTGTAGTCGATGGCGGGGATCTCGGAAAGGAAGCGGATGATTATCTGGTCTTAGGTTCAATGTATGGTAGGATGCCGTCGATGAGGCGGAGGGCGCAGCGGTGGTAGTTGCCTGGTGGCTTTGGTGATGTTGTGGTTGGAAGAACGTTTTGTGTCGATATCTTCGACGGACTCGGCGAGGACCATGTCGTTTTGTACCATTCTCGTTAGCCATGAGATGCAACGTCGATGCGCGACTTCCATTTGTACAGTATGTTATTGGTAGAGACCGTCCCTTACCGCATCGCTGATGTGCATATGCCCTTGGGCGTTCTTGACGGCGTATTCAATCTTTGATACCTCTTCCGGGCGTCTAGGCCAGCGCTGGCTCGTGTAGCTAACCGAGAGAGTATAGTAACCCAGGCGTCTCTGTTGTAGTCTGTGGCCGCAAGTCGGTTGAAGCCGCCTTTACGACTTTGCTCTTCTGCGTCCTCTCTACCACTGCTCAGCATGCCGAAGGCTCGATACGGTCATGTCACGTACTTCTGAACATCCTGTTCTGACAACGGAGGTGCCTCAGGCAGCTTGTAGGGTGCTAACGCGTTGACGGTCCGCCTTGTGAGGGGAAAGGATTCGAGGGGATGCCATCGAGCTTTTGATGAGCTGTTCAGCATCTCGGGTTCGAAGTCAGTCGTATCCTCTCGTCTTCTGCTGCGGCGGTCGCGCGGGTTGTACAGGGCGCCTTGGTGCGGTCTGTTTGAGTGTCTGGTACGAGGCGCGAACGGCCTATATGAAATTAGCACGGTAACGGGCTGACACGTCCAATACGGCTCTAGAGCGTACGAGCAACATGGGGTGTAGGAATCAGACAGGGATCATCACATACGTTGAAGGCTTGTTCGAGCTTTGCGGGTTCACAGACTGCAGAACAGCAGACTATCCTGAGCATTGCTCGGATCTCTGAAGTTTTGTACATCAAAGTTCGCAGTGCTAACCCTCAGCATTCAGTGTGTATAGTTGTCGCCAGCTCACTGCACCAGGTAGCGGTTGGACGGATGGTGTGCGACTTGGAGGTTCAGCGACTAAGCGTTTGCCTCTTTGCCGGGTCAAGACCTCATGGGCTCAACCGGTGCTGGACGTTTACGGTTCGATCATCGAACACTTCAACCCGTGTACGATGCATGCGTTCGAGGAACTGCTGTACCGTCCTTGACGGGGTGTCTGGGGCGTTTCTACGTTATGAGCTGAGCAGTACTACATGAAACAGGCATACATCCTCTTTTGATGTTCACAAGCAATGCCCTTGTTTACGCTCAATCGACTTCTGATGACCTTGTTCTTGGCGTCATGGGCGAATTGGCGACTTGAGAGGGTGAAATTTGAAGACACTGTTTCAGGATCTTATTTACAACATTTGGGCGGCGGTGGATTAACATGCCCAAGCTGTTGAGTGTCGCAGTCAACGCAAGCCGTCACTAGTCTCGTTAGAGCGTCCCAGCAGTCTGCGACTGTCTATCTAACCTGTGATCTCCGTGTATGATGTCCAGCAACCTGTCCAACAAGCCCGTGTCCTTCGGCCTCGAGGCTTGCGTATGGTATGAGGGGGTGGTCGCGAGATACGAGGGAGAG